TGGGGAGTGTGAATAAGTGCAGACCTTGTTCTGAAATTGATTCTTACTCCAACATCTGCTTGGGTGAGGGGACCCAGAAGTAGATAGATAGTTTAACTTTGTCTTCAAACAACTGCAGTGTTTTATGGCCTATACAATTTGAGTAACAATTTTAAGACAAAACGTGAGATTTCAAGGAAATGCTGCTTATTAGGTAAAAGAGGAAATTGGTGAAAAAACTTAACAAGAAACTATTTGAGAGAAAAGACAAACATGCTGAGAGGTGGAGGTCTGTAGTCCAGTCCTGGCCGTGTGACTGGCTGACGGTGGCCTCATTAAGCCCATCTGTAAAATAGGCTTGAAATGTGTAGGTAGTTTCTAGTTTAAGATTTATTCAATTGAGGCATTTATAAATTAAGAAGCCCCATTTGAAAGACACAATGATAGCCTTGAGAGACTCTCTGCAGAATTCCAGGGCTCCCAGATGTGCACTGGGGCTCATGGCTTCAATAATCCTGTGTTTTGTGCATCTTCTCTCTCCCAAAGGACTATGAATCACTGCTAAAACTCCAGGGACGTGTGAGAGAAGCTGAGTGACTTTATAGATCCAGAGATCTATTTCAGTTCCATTTTCATGTTTTTCTTCAGATCTTTCAGCTTGTGCCCAAATGAAAATTTACCTTGCTACCTGAAAGTTCTACCTTATGCCTTATTGAGCACTATTATTAATCTTTTATCAGGAGATTATTTTCACTGTATTTTAAAAAGGACTGCCAAAATATAAAGCATGGATTTTATTATGTCTTATGGAAAATTGATTTTTTTCACAAAAAGATAGGTTTAATCTTATAGGCAATAGAGAAATAAATATTTGAAAATAAAGGCAGGAGGCAGAAGGGAATTCATATATGTTGAGTTCCTGTTATGTACCAGGTACTGTGCTTTACACTTATTATGTTGTTTAACCCACATAATCATCTGTGGAGGTGAGAATAAGAATGTACCGGGGACCTATGCCAAGCCAGAAAGACTTATGGAGGCTTTTAAAGCAAACGCCACCCAGACTTCTCTCCCCACTGCAGGATTGTATATCCAGCCACCTGCGTGACAGGCCCACCTGGCAATCACGTCTCCATGTCAGTGTGGCCAGACGAGGCTCATCCTCTTTCCCCAAAAGCCTCCCTAGCCACAGCCTGTCTCATCTCAAGTGAGGGCACGTACACACTTGCAGTTGTTTAGGCTGGCAACCCTGGGGTCATCCTTGTCTCTGTTTCTTCTTACCCTCTCCACCCAGTCTACCAGTAGATCCCACTGACTTGCTTCAAAACAAGCCTGGCGTGGGTCTGACTACTCCCCAACTCCACCTGGGTCTAAGCAAACATTGCCTCCTTCCAGGAAGATGAGTCTTCTCCCTGCCTGTGCTGACCTCCCCTGTGCTCTCTTCCCAACCAGCAGCCAGGAGGAACCTGTTTAAACAAGCTGTGTCAGTTCTGAGCTCAGACTCCTGCAATGGCCCCCACTTTACTCCCAGAGGAAGAGCCAGAAAGCCTTGACCACTCACGATCCATCCCTCATTCACTCCCCACAGCAGCCCTGCTGCCCTGCCATTTCCTCCTCTGCCCATCACCCCCTCCCTCACTTTATTCTATCCCCACCGACTTCCTGGCAATTTCAAGAACAGCCAGGCACACCCCCACCTTAGGACCCTGGCCTCGGCAATTCCCTCTGCTTGGAGCACCCTTCTCTCACATGCGACTAACTCCCTCATGTCTGTCAAGGTTTGGTTGTGTCCCACTTTCTTAGCGAGGTTCCCTCACCTACCTCTGCCCTCCAGCCTGTGTCCTCCTGATCCCCCTTACTGTGTGGTCTGTTTTTCTTACATCACTAGCATGCTTCACATTCTAAAATACTCTGTACTTTATTTCTTCATTGTGCTTGTTGTTATTTTCTGTTTACCCATCTCCACTAAAATGAAAAGTTCAGTGGTTCTTCCAAGCACTTAGCATTGTGCTTGGCTTGTGATAGATGCTCAGTAAATCTTTGTGAAATGAGTGAATGAGTAAGTGAATTCATTCTTCATACTAACCTGACGAAAGTAGGTTTCATTGTCTCCATTTTACACATGAGGACATTGGAACTCAAAGAGGCTAGGCAACTTTCACAAGTCAGATGTCTTGTTAAGAGGCAGAGCTGAGATGGAAAGAAAGCTCTCTGATCTGGACCTTCTCCACTTTATCACACTGCAGAACATGTACTTTACAAAAACATAGGTATTCTATAAAGTGTGATGCATTTATAGTTTCTGTCCTTTCTCCATACTCTCAGCCAATATTTCGTAAGTGAACCTCTTAAAATAATGTAACTAAAGTGACTGGCTTATAAAATAACTCACATAAAATGAATGATGTAAAGTATCTCAAGACTGGCTGCAGAGCCATAGAAACAAACCAATATGAGCTAGCTTGATTTTTAAGCCAAAAAATTAACTTAAAAATGAATAATGAAAAAAATTAAGTAGAATCTGTCATCAGGATATATGAGCTCATGGAAGCAAGGGAAAAAATAAAGAAGTGAGCGCAGGAAGCAGACAAGTTTAGAGAGTTCTTGCCCCACCTTCCACACATGTCTCTTCCTCTGTTCTTTCTCTAGTTTACCAGCGTGTGCTCCCTTCTTCCTGTGAGGGGCAAGGGGACCAGGCTCTAACCAAAACTCTTCCAGTTGAATGAGACTGCAATCTTCTGGTCCCAAATCATGAGCCCAGCCAGGGTGAGCAGTTGTCCCAGTGTGATCAACGTGGCCAGCGGTGAGGACTCAATGGCAAACAATTGATAGAGGACACCTCTGAAGGTCAGGGAGTGCAGGATGCTAGAGAAAGGGGTGCAACAGATACCTCAGAAGTACATGACTCAAGAACCCAGTGGCATAGTGGAAAACACACTGTTCAATCAAACAGCTTAAGTTCAAGTTCCTGTTTGTTTTGTTTACCTTTCTTTGCTCTTGTTCTTTCTCAGATACAGGGTCTAAATATTGGTCACTTGGTGATAGGAAAGAGCAGAAATAACCATAATAGAAGGACTCTTGGGGTAAGCAAGAGAAAAAATAAAATACCAGGGACTAGGGAATTCTGCATTCTAATCTCAGTTCTTTCACCAAGGAGCATATCTGTTGGGCAAGTCATTCTCTGTCTCAGTTTCTTCATCTGTGTAATAAGGAGATTAGATAAAATCAGTAGGTTTCCCAACCTCCTTAATCAGGTGTATCAACTAGGGAACATTTTCAAAAGAGAGATTACCCTGACTCTACCCACAAATATTCTGATTTAATAGATCTTACATGAAATTTTAAAATTCCTATTTTCAGCAGCTTTCCAGATGATTGTGATGATCAAACATACTTGGGAACCATTTGACCAGATGACATTTAGATGACCCAGCATTTGTGATGGTATGTTTATATAGAAATATCTAAGTTAGAAAACATGCCAATTCTTAAAAAAAAAAAAAAATTTCTTATTGTATATCTGAGTGTCTTCTTAGGAAATTGCATGATTTTATTTCTACAAACAATTAAGAACAAAATAGATTCTCAATAAATATTTAAGAATGAATAAATGGTTAGTTTCCTATGTTTTAAAAATTAAGTATTCATTATATCCTTGAGTAAACTATTCTTCATACCTGTAGGGGAAAATTCAGATTTTTGTCTGGTTTACTGGAATATTAAGAATATATTTAACAGAACAATCATATATAAATCAGAGCTCATAGTCATAATTATACCCCAAAATTATTAATTATAGAATCTAATTTTTAGCTTTTATAACATGGATAAATGAGATACATATGAAAATGCATTCTTTACATGCTTTATGTACTATGAAAATACATGATATTGTGTTGTTTTTGCATTTTACTACTCACAGCATTCTAAAACTCAACCTGTCAACTTTGAACAGGTTCTGCAGAGAATCATATTAGCACTGGTTTTTTTGAAGGTCCAGTGTTCTCTCTGGAAATGAACACAATGCTAGGGGTTTCTAAAGGGACTGAACTTCAGGCAGAGCTTCTGGGATGTCACTCTGCCTTCATGCCTATCAGCTGAATTAAATTGGGCAAGCCACATCACCTCTTCTGTGAAATGATCTCTGCACTCATTCAGGCACTATTATTCTTATAAACAGTTATGAGGCAAAAAAATATATATTCTTACTTCTGAGTGTCACTACCTTGTGGCTTAAAACTTAGATTTACTATTGTTCTTATCCCTTCAGATACTACTTTAATATACTACTTAGGGCCACAAAATTGTATTGCCTAAAAGAAAACAAAAAACAAACTCTGTTGACACCTAGACTTTTCAATAGCAGATCGTTTTCGTGTGTAACACAAGCCCTTCTCTGTGTACTTCCGGAAAGGAAAATCACAGCTCAGCAGAAAGCATCCAATGTTGTTGAAAGAGGTACCTTTCCTCTAACTCTGGGCCTAATTAGAAGTTCCACTTGGTCGCTTTCTTCAGAAAGCATCAATAATTAAGGGTAATGGTTTGGCTAAGGTGACAGTAAGCCCCCAGAAATGTGCTTGTAATGACTGTGCCATGATTTGTGTCTTCCTATGGTGTCAGAAGAACCAGCCTGGGAAGAATGATACCTCTTAGCCCTTTTTAAAGTCACAACTGTTTAGTTTCATCAAACTAATAATGCACAAGAAGTGAATACAATTCCGTGTGTGTGGTATATTTTACAAAATCAAATGAGTAATGCTTACATTTTTTTAAAAGAGGATATAAACATTAATAGTAGAAAAGTAGATTGTAGAAATCAAACGTTTTTCTCACAGTGACTTTTTAATTTTTTTATGGTTGATTTTATTTTCTGAAAATCATTAAAATGCACAGTGTAACATGCGCAAGCACACTGCCATGTAAATTCTCCATGAAAACTCTCTTCTCATGTCTTTGAATTTAATGGGTGTCAGAGTAGTCTTCATTCTTGCATCTAATTACTACATTTTGTTATGTTTCAGAGAAGTTGACATCACATACCGAGTGGCATCAGGTTAAAAAATACAAAGTTTGGATCTTTTCCTGCCTTTGAAGCAAGAAAAATGGAAAATTGATAACAAAAGGTAAGACTGCCTTTTTCCTTTTATAACACATCCCCACATCTTCTTCTTTAGCCATCCTATGTGAAACCAGTTTTTTTATAACATGGTATATTTGTATATAAATATTTCTAGTTTGTAACTCCAAGCATATTAAGAGTCTGCTGAGTTTAAAGTCTGATTTTTTTAACTCCCTAGTTGCCTGTGCAATATCCAGGTGAGATGTGTTCTATATGTTTAGTTTTCATTCTTCTTGTTAATCTAGAGTGGCAGATCAGGCCAATTCCATTTTCATGACTACAGACCAAGATATTGTACTTTAGGTTAAGCATGGAATTATGAAAGTAGATGACATGATATCAGCCTTTATTTTTTCTTAGAGTGTTGTACAGATTTGAATTTGTTAGCATAGACAAGCTGGACATGATCTATGTGTGCCAGGATCTCCACTCCTTTCATGTCATTATGTGTAGCTTTGAGGAAAGATAAAGGAAGGGTCTTATTGATGTGCACAAATCAGAAATACTATGTACCTTTGGATCAGAAGGGAGTGGATGTTGCTGAATATATTAATAAGCCATCATTTTTGCTTGGGTTGCTGGTCTGAGACAATGGCGTGGGCATGGCGATTTACTGGGACACTGCTCCCAGAGTCACAGATCAGGAAAGTGGGTGAGCAAGTCCTCCACTGTAGACTGTGGGAACATGTTTTCTCTGGGACCTCCTAGAAGGTATAGGGTACCTACCAGAATTTCTGCGTGAAGGATATGTGACAAGAGGTTTATCCACTGGCGTTTTTCTCTTGGTTGTGGATTGATTCTGGGGCAATAACTACCCCCAATTCTGGGCTGTGCTGTACTGAATGGGACAGTAAGACACTCGGTTGTCTTTCACCTGAGGTAGACACTAAGGTGAAGAGAACAGGCACTGCAACGGGGCCGTCTGTCTATGCAACTATGGCTGAAATCAGAGCAGGGCAAAGGGCATGATGCAGGGAACCAGGCATATCTCTTACTGTTCCTTTTACTTTACTTTACATCATAAAATAAATCACATTTTCCTCCTAAGTGAACTATCTCCAGTAAGAGAGTGTTTTGTGTTTTAAAGACATTATAGGGTTATATCCAAACGTCATAGAACTGGAGTGGACTCAGTTTCAAAACTAACTTCTTACAAATAGTGACTCTATAGCATCTTGCTACCCTGATGGACAGTGACTGCAGTGGGGTTGGGGGGCACACTTGAAAATATGGGTGAATGTTGAAACCACAATGTTGTTCATGTGAAACCTTCATAAGATTGTATATCAAGGATAACTTAATTAAAAAAAACCCTAACTTTGTAAATAAATGCTAGATATTTGAGACATTACATAGTAAGATACGAAGTGGGACCAAAATGTTGGAATAGAGTTAGTATAACATTTCATAATATCTATACTTTTTACTCACTGTACATTGTTTTATATACAAGATGTCTGTAGATACACAAAAATACAATTATTGTCTTTTCTACATGGACCTAACCTAGGTGGCAGTCATTCGTGTGACAAGTGTGCCTTAAATAATGCATGTCTGAGCATAATGTTACAAGGATGGTCAGTTGGAAAAATAGATTTAACACACTGAAGTGAATCTGGTTTTCTGATTTGAGGACATTAAACAGATAAAATGAAGTCAGGGAAAAGCTGTGGTTGTGTTGACCTAGAAGATTGTATGAAGGAATGTAATTGTTAAACTCCCTAAGGAGCAACTATTAAAACAAACAAACAACAAACATTTAAACTAATGTGCATTGGCATGCAAACTCCTAGGGAAGGAAAGGGAAGAAGAGAAAGGGCAACAGAAAGATGCAGGGGAAGGAAACCATGGAGGCAGTGGCGGATGACAAGGAAGAAATAAACACCAGGGTAGACAGGATCAAACCATGGGCTGCAGAGAATCCCAGGACAGCAGGCAAGAGGGATCTCTTAGAACAAACCTTATATTAAACATCAAATGCAAACTGAGTGAATGGTCCCAATCAATATGAAGCAGAAAAATTTCTAAAGATTAAGTTCTAAAGATTAAGAAGACTGTGTCTTCTCTCCTGAACAATGTAGTCACATCTCTATGGTCCATTAGACTGCAAAGTCTTACTAAATAAAAGCTCTGATTGTGTCTTCTCTTCGCTTAGAAAATTTTCTGTGATTTACTAATTCATCATTTTCCAGACTTCTTAACCAAACATTTAAAACTTGCTATACTCTAAGTTTTCAGACTTATTTCTTATTCCTTGACTTCACCTACCAGTAGTCTAGACCATTGTGTAGGAAGTGAATTCTGTGATTTGTTAAGTCTTCCAAGTAATTGTGATACATTTTGGTTCTCAAACATAGATTAGTCTGGGATGAGGCCCAAGAATTTGCATTTCCAGTAAGTTCCCAGGTGATACTGCCGGTCCAGAGACCTTACTTCGAGACCCACTCTGTAAGACAAATGATCCAGACTGGCACAATTTCTTCATTGCAATTTGAGTCAAAGACTGATTGCAATAAAGGGCTCGTTTGCAGACATCACTACTACTGTGGGGGATGTACCAGTTTAAGAGCAGAGTCTTAGTCTTCTGATGAAATGCCATCTTAATATCATGAATACCTAACAATAAGCTTTATGATACATTTTTATATCCCCTGCTGTGTTATATACTTTGTAGACCCACAAATATCTGTTGGTTAATGGAAGGAAGGAAGGAGGAGAGGAGAGGAGAGGAGAGGAGAGGAGAGGAG